CCTTAGTACGGTATCCTTAGTACGGTATCCTTAGTACGGTATCCTTAGTACGGTATCCTTAGTACGGTATCCTTAGTACGGTATCCTTAGTACGGTATCCTTAGTACGGTATCCTGGCCGTGAAAGTTCGCTGGACCGCTTTAAAGTGCCGCACTGTATCCACCGTGGGGTCCAAAGCTGGCAGCAGTACTCAAGTAGAGAGATCACAACGGCCCTGAGGAGTGTGATCATCGGTCCCGCAAGATCCAGCCTATCTGTCGCCTTTTATTGCGGTTATTGCCGCTATGTGATCACTAAACTTGACTTGGGCATTTATAAACACGTTAATGAGAACTGTATTAATGGGTTTTAATGGGTGGGTATTGGGTAATGCACTAATAGATATTAATATTAACGCTCTAATGGATAACGCTCTAATAAATGTTAATGCGCTAATGAGCAATGCTCTAATACCGTAGATGTTACTGTGTCAATGGGTAATGTGGTAATGGGTTAATGGGTAGTGCTCTAATAGATGTTAATTTGTTAATGGGTATGGTGTTAATGCGCTAATGGGTAATGCTCTAATAGTTGTTAATGGGTTAATGGGTAATGCGCTAATTGGTTAATTGGCAACGTATTAATGGGTAATGTGTTAATGTGTTCATGGGTAATTCGTTAATGGTTAATGCACTAATGTTAATGGTCTTGGTGCAGGTGGAGCGTGCAGGGGAAGCCGTTCAGGGAGACGGACAGGATGCGTATGCTGCCGGAAGGATCGCTCCTGATCCGCGAGGTGGCGCGCGGGGACGGCGGCGAGTATACGTGTATGGTAGAGAACGCGTACGGCAAGGATACGGTCACCCACACCCTACTTATCCAGGGTGAGATACGGTCACCCACACCCTACTTATCCAGGGTGAGTGTCTCCTACACCCTACTTATCCAGGGTGAGATACGGTCACGCACACCCTACTTATCCAGGGTGAGTGTCTCCTACTTATCCAGGGTGAGTGTCTCCTACTTATCCAGGGTGAGTGTCAGGCGTACGGCAAGGATACGGTCACCCACACCCTACTTATCCAGGGTGAGTGTCTCCTACTTATCCAGGGTGAGTGTCTCCTACTTATCCAGGGTGAGTGTCTCCTACACCCTACTTATCCAGGGTGAGTGTCAGGCGTACGGCAAGGATACGGTCACGCATACCCTACTTATCCAGGGTGAGTGTCTCCTACTTATCCAGGGTGAGTGTCTCCTACACCCTACTTATCCAGGGTGAGTGTCTCCTACTTATTCAGGGTGAGTGTCTCCTACTTATCCAGGGTGAGTGTCTCCTACGTCTTTATTGCCTTACGTGCCATATTTTGGCCTATTCCCTCCTTATTCTAGCCAATTCTGGCTTTATTTTGGCCTATTCTGGCCTTATTGTTGCCCCCATGGCCTTATTATTGCCATATCCATGCCTTTCTTTGGCCTAAACTACCTTATTTTATTCTATATATACCTTTCTTTATTATACTGGCCTTATTTCACTGCTCATTACCTACATGACCCACTTAACCTACACTGTCGCTACTGAAGACATCGACAGAAAATGCCACTTTTCCAGGGGTAACTCAAGCAATTATATTATAATTATTTCATCATTTATTATATTTTTTTTAAATTATATTATTTCATTTTTATTATATAACCCACGTGTGCCCCCCAGTGGCCATTACCTTCATGACCCACTTAACCTATTTGACCCATTTCCGCCTCCCAGCGCGCCCCCCCATGCCCCCGAGATTACCTTATTTAGTCTATATTTACCTTTTATTGCATTACATTGGCCATTACCCACATGACCCACTTGACCTACTTGACCCACTTAACCTACGTGACCCACTTAACCTACTTGACCCACTTAACCTATTTGACCCATTTTCGCCCCCCAGCGCCCCCCCACGCCCCCGAGATCGAGATCGTCTCGAGCGCGACCGACAAGATCGAAGTGAAGCTCAAGCCCTCGACGGTGGACGAGACCGCGCCCATACACGGCTACACGCTACACTACAAGCCAGAGTTCTCTGACTGGGAGACAGTGCAGGTACGCTACACGCTACACTACAAGCCAGAGTTCTCTGACTGGGAGACAGTGCAGGTACGCTACACGCTACACGCTACACTACAAGCCCGAGTTCTCTGACTGGGAGACAGTGCAGGTACGCTACACGCTACACTACAGGTATGCTACAAGCTAAACTATACCCTAATGGATTCCAAAAAGGATAAAACACAGTATATATATAGGATTTTTAAATTTATCTTTTATTTCCCCATAAAACTTCTATCAAGGTGGCTGTTAGTGATACTCATTTATAAACATTAACTCACTGTAAGATGCGCTGACCAGTGTCCCAGTGTGGCCATTATACGCGCAGCGCTATGTTATCTATATAATATATAAATGGTCTTATATTATATATAAATATTATATATATTATCTGATTAAAGCGCTATTTATTATCTGCTAGAAGTGTCAGCCTGCGTACGCGTGAACGCTTTTTATTCAGGCCTTTGAAATAGACTCAAAATTGTCGCACATAACATTGCCGCTACTGAAGACATCGACGGAAAGTGCATGTTGTGCAGGGGTAACTCAAGCAAATATATTATAATTATTTTGTTATTATATTATTTTTTATTTTATAATAATACAATATATTATATTTTTATTATAATGGAAATGAAACGTACTTTTTACCATTGCCTTACCACTGCCGTACCATGTAGGTACCAGCGGCCGCGCGTACCTACACGCTGGAGAACCTGTGGTGCGGGTCGCGGTACCAGATCAAGGCGTCGGCGTACAACAAGTAAGTACCAGTCAAGTACCATACAAGTACCAATTAAATACCAGTCCATCACCCTCATCACTCTGTCCATCAACATCTAATTCTCATCTCATTAGCCATCTCATTACTCCGTCATTAGCCATCTCATTACCTCATTAGCCATCTCATTGCCTTATTAGCCATCTCATTACCTCATTAGCCATCTCATTACCTCATTAGCCATCTCATTACCTCATTAGCCATCTCATTACCTCATTAGCCATCTCATTACCTAATAACCCCCAGGATAGGCACGGGGGAGCCCTCGGAGGTACTCAGCACCCGCACGCGGGGGGGCAAGCCCGTGGTCCCCGACGTGGGGAGGTTCGTGGAGGTGGCGGCCACGTCCGTGTCCCTGCACCTCAACGCCTGGGGCGACGGCGGCTGCCCCATCAACTACTTCGTCGTCGAGTACAAGCCCAAGTGAGCCTATATAAAGCGCCTATATGGTGCCTATATGATGCCTACAACACGTCCCTATATTGTGCCTATATGATGCCTACATCACATGCTTATATTGTGCCTATATGGTGCCTACATCACATGCCTATATGATGCCTATATGGTGCCTTAAGTCGTCGAGTACAAGCCTAAGTGAGCCTACATAACGTGCCTATATGGTGCCTATATGGTGCCTATATGGTGCCTTAAGTCGTCGAGTACAAGCCCAAGTGAGCTTACATAAAGTGCCTATATAAAGTGCTTATATGGTGCCTACATAAAGTGCCTATATGGTGCCTATATTATGCCTTCGTCGTCGAGTACAAGCCTAAGTGGGCCTACATCACGCTTATATTGTGCCTACATGATGCCTACATCGCGTGCTTATATTATACCTACGTCGCGCCTTTATTGTGCCTATATTATGCCTACATCGTCGAGTACAAGCCTAAGTGAGCCTACATCACGTGATTATATGGTGCCTATATCGTACCCAAGTCAGCCCAAGTGGGCCTACATCACGCTTATATTGTGTCTACATGATGCCTACATCGCCTGCTTATATTACGCCTACATCGTGTCTATATGATGCCTGCATCGCGCCTTTATCGTGCCTACATGATGCCTACATCGCGCCTTTATTGTGCCTATATTATGCCTACATCGTCGAGTGCAAGCCTAAGTGTGCCTACATCGCCTGCTTATATTATGCCTACATCGCGCCTATATGATGCCTAAATGATGCCTATATCGTGTCTATATGATGCCTGCATCGCGCCTTTATCGTGGTCTTAAGTCAGGGAGTCTGGGTGGCTGTAAGTGTGGAAGTCAGTCGTGAGCGTAACTAATTAATTGCTTAAATAATTATACTGTGGCTGTGCTGTGAAAAATTTATTATTAAGTTAAGCAGTTTATTTCAGTTTATTAAGCAGTATATATTACCGTGATAGTAACACCTATTAACCCCACCACCCGCCACCGCCACCACCCTGTAGTAACACCTATTAACCCCACCACGCGCCACCACCCTTTTGTAACACCTATTAACC